TGGTATTCTTTGCTTTCAGACAGGATCTTTCTGACATCAGCAATGATATCCCTCATTCCATACCCTCTTCTGAATCTGATTTGAATTTCTGGCAGTTCCCAGTCTATATACTATTGCAACTATTTTTTAAAATTATTTTCAGCAAAATTTTATTTATGTATAAGATTAGGTGATCTACTTCCATAGTGATACTGCCTCGGAAATCCAAGGAGTGGTCGTTATGAGGTGGATCTGACTAGATGGCAGTGAGTTTGGTTTTTTGGTTTATCAATTATATTATTTAATAATTTCCACATTCTGTTGGATCATCTTTCTTTGGAATGGGACAAATATTGATCTCTTCCAGTCAATTGGCCAGGTAGCTGTCTTCCACATTTCTTGGCATAAATGAGTGAGTGCTTCCAGAGCATCTGTTTGTTGAAATATCTCAATTGATATTCTGTCAGTTCCTGGAGTCTTGTTTTTTCCTTCAGCACAACTTGGACTTCTTCCTTCAATACTATCAGTTCTTAATCATATGCTATCTCCTACAATGGTTGAATGTCCACTGATTTTTTAGTACTGTGACTCTGTGTATTCTTTTCATCTTCTTTTGATGCTTCCTGTATCATTCAATATTTTGCCCATAACCAAAAAACCTAATCCACTGCCATCGAATCAATTCCAACTCATAGTGACCCCTATTGGGTTTCCGAGGCTGTAAATCTTTACAGAAGTAGATTATCCCATTTTCCTTCAGCAGAGTGGCTGGTAGGTTTGAACTGCCAACCATCTGGTTAGCAATCAAATGCCTTAGGCACTGTGCCACCAGAGCTCCTTTTTCCTTCAATATCACAACTCAAGGCTTAAGTTTTTTCTTCACTTCTTTAAGCTTAAGAAATGCTGAGCATGTTCTTCCCTCTTGATTTTCTACTTCCGGGTCTTTGCCCATTTCATTATAATGCTTTGCTTTGTCTTGTCAAGTTGCCCTTTGAAATCTTCTGCTCAAATCTTTTACTTCATCATTCTTTCATTCATTTTAGCTACTCCCTGTTCATTCAAGAACAAGTTTCAGAGTCTCTTCTGACATCCATTTTGGTCTTTCCTTTTCTTTTAAATGATCTTTTGCTTTCAAAATGTATAATGTTCTTGATGTCATCCCACAACTCATCTGGTCTTCAGTCATTGGTGTTCAGTACATCAAATCTACTTTGCAGATAGTCTCTGAATTCAGGTGGGATATACTCAAGGGCATATTTTGGCTCTGAATTCAGGTGGGATATACTCAAGGGCATATTTTGGCTCTTGTTGACTTGTTTTAATTTTTGTCAGCTTCAAGTTAAACTTGATATGAATAATTGATGGTCCACACTCGGCCCCTGACCTTGTTTTACCTGATATTGAGCTTCTCCATTGCCTCTTTCCATAGATGTAGTCAATTTGATTCCTGTATATTCCATCTGGTGAGGTCTATATGTACAGCTGCCATTTATGTTGTTGAAAAAGGTATTTGCAATAAATAAGTTGTTGGTCATGCAAAATTCTATCATGGGATCTCTGGCATCTTTTCTATCACCAAGGTCATATTTTCCAGTTTTCACATTCCAATCACCAGCAATTATCAATGCATCTTGATTGCATGTTTAGTCTGTTTCAGACTGCAGAAGCTGGTAAAAATCTTCAATTTCTTCATCTTTGGCTTTGGTGGTTGGTGCATAAATTTGAATTCCAGTAGTACTAACTGTTCTTCCTCATAGGCATATGGATATTATCACTGACAGCATTGAACTTCAGGATAGATCTTGAAATGTTCTTTTCAATTTGTCATTCCCAGCATAATAGACCATATGATTGTCCAATTCAAAATGGCCCATACCACTCCATTTCAGCTCACTATTGCCTAGGATATGAATCTTTATGCATTATATTTTGTTTTTTACAAAATCCAATTTTCCTGTATTCATATTTCATACATTCCATGTTCCAGTTATTAATGGATGTTGGCAGCTATTTCTTCTCATTTTGACTCATGTTGCATCAGCAAATGAAGGTCCCAAAAGCTTTACACCATCCATATCATTAAGGCCACTTCTACCTTGAGGAGGCAGCCCTTCTCCAGTTGTATTTTGAATGCCTTCTAACCTGAGTGGCTCATCTTCTAGCACTATATCAGACAACGTTTCCCTGCTATTCATAAAGTTTTCAGTGGTTGGTTTTTTTGTTTTTTTTTCCAGAAGTAGATTGCTTCTTCCTTCTTCCTAGTCTGTCTTAGTCTAGAAGTTCTGCTGAAACCCATATATTATGATTGACCTTTCTCGTATTTGAAATACTGATGACGTATCTTCCAGCATCACAGCAATATGCAAGCCATCACAGTACAACACACTGGCAGAGGAATGATAAAACAATACACTAAATACACTAACTAATCCAAAATAAGGAACTCTGGTAGCATAGTGCCTAAGGCACTTGACTGCTAACCAGAAGGCTGGTGGTTCAAACCCACCAGCCACTCCTCAGAAGGAAGGTTGGACAATCTAGTTCCATAGTGATACTGCCTCGGCAACCCAAGGAGGGGTCGCTATGAGTCGGGGCTGACTCAACGGCACATAATAACAACAACAACAATCCAAAATAAGGCAGAATAAAAGGAGAAAGATGAGTCTAATAGGAAAAAAAATAGGAAAATGGTGGACTTAAGTTTGAACATTAGGATAATTAAGTTCAATGTAAATAATGTAAAAACTTCAATTTATAGTCAGAGATTGTTAAACTGGATAAAAAAATAAGACCCAACTATGTGTTCTTCACAGGAAACTCACTTTAACTATGAACACATGAAAAGTTTAAAACTAAAAGGTTATGCTAAATAAAATTAGACACAAAAGGACAAATATTATTTGATTCCCACTTCATAAAAATAGGTAAATTCATGGGAACAAAAGTTTATTAGCAGTCCCCAGAGGCTCAGTAGGAGAGTGGACAGTTAATGCTTCTTCTTGTTCTTGTTGTTATGTGCCATCGAGCAGGCCTCAACTCGTAGCGACCCCTCCTTGGGTTTCTGAGGTGGTATCACTACAGTAGATTGCCCAACCTTCCTTCCAAGGAGTGGCTGGTGGGTTTGAACCGCCAGCATTCTGGGTTAGCAGTCAAGTCCCTTAGGTACTACTCTACCAGAGCTCCCCAGTTAATGCTTAAGGGGTACTAAGTTTCTATTTTGGATGACAAAAAATTACTTAAAAATGCACAACAATGACGGTTGCACAGCACGGTGAATGTAATTAATGTCACTGAATTGTACACTTAAAAGTGGTTAAAATGGTAAATGTTTTGTTATAGATTTTAGTATGTTTATATACAAGGAGTGCCAAATAGATTATTTAATCTTTTACACTACTGTACTTACTTATTTACTTGTATATACATTATGTCTATTATACTATTATCTTGCCCCTTTGCTCTGAATTCTTCAGTTGGAATTTGAAAGAAAAAGAATCAGGAAAATTATCTATTATACCACATTAAGCTCTCAGCTGTAAACTGAAGGATGGGCAGTTCAAACCCACCCAAAGGCACCTCAGAAGAAAGGCTGGGGATCTGGCTCTGACAGGTCACAGCCGTGAAGACTCTACGGAATGCAGTTCTACTCTGCAACGCATAGGTCACCATGAGTCGGAAGCCACCTGATGGCACATCTTATCTAATATGTTGCCCACATTCGAATTACACCAGTTCTCCTAATAATGTCCTTTATACCTTTATATCATTTTTCCTGATCCAGGATTCAATCTAGAATCACACATGTATTTTGTTTTCATATGTCTTTAATTTCCTTAAATCTAGAAATTTCTTAAACCATGTTTTTTTCCAAAGTATTGACAATTTTTGAAAAATACAGTCAATTTTTTAAAAATACACTTGTTTTGCAGAATGTCCCTTGGTCTGTGTTTCTCAGAAGTTTCCTTGTGGTTAGATTCAGGCCATGCATTTTGGCAGGAATTGCCACTTGCTGTCAACTGCCAATTAGTCAGCTTTGATAACGAGATTAAGATCCTCGTAATCCTCGTCCTTCAGCTTTCTTCACTGTTAAGCGACCATTTTTTTCTTTTGAAATAATGGACTAATTTCTGGGGACACAGTTAGCAATTGTTTACATATCCTGTTACTCATCAACTTTCACCCAAATTTTAGCAGTCACTGTCATTCTTGCATAAATCACTTATTACTATGATGACTGCAAAATGGTGATTTTCTAATTTCATTATTTCTTCTAATTTTATGAATTGGCATTCTATTGGGCACATTTTAATTCTTGACGTTAGCCTTTTCTTGTTATTATGTGCCGTCGAGTCGGCCCCGACTCATAGCGACCCCTCCTTGGGTTTCCGAGGCAGTATCACTACG